GCTAGGTCTCCTGTTCTCACCGTTAATAGGTTCTGAGGATTCCATTTGTTTCTGGAGCCATTTTGGAATATGCTCTGAAGCCCTTACTTGCAGAGATCGATGAGTCCTCCCTATGTATGTGTGTCCACACGTACATTCAAATTGGTAAATACAGTGGGATGTGACGTCATTTTTCGCATGTTCGAAGGGCTTAGATAGATATAATGGCTTTACATTCTCTAATATTATGATATTAGCTGCATAAAAAGTCTTTTTAACAGCAGCGTTCAGCCTTTGTCTGGTTATCAAGCTGCTTTGATGTCCCATATAAGGTAGCTTGATGTACACGTCTTTCTTAGGGGCGAGTTGGACAAAGGCTGAACGCTGCTGTTAAAAAGACTTTTTATGCAGCTAATATCATAATATTAGAGAATGTAAAGCCATTATATCTATCTAAGCCCTTCGAACATGCGAAAAATGACGTCACATCCCACTGTATTTACCAATTTGAATGTACGTGTGGACACACATACATAGGGAGGACTCATCGATCTCTGCAAGTAAGGGCTTCAGAGCATATTCCAAAATGGCTCCAGAAACAAATGGAATCCTCAGAACCTATTAACGGTGAGAACAGGAGACCTAGCTCTTCTATTGCGAAACATATTATAGAGACAGGTCATAAAATTGATGTTAACAGATCTCTTAAACCTATCTATAAAACGTGTTTGGGGCGTATCCTAAAGTTTGTGGAAGCCCTAGCAATTAGAAAGTTCAAGCCACCTTTATGCGTTCAAAAACAATTTGTCATCACATTAAACCTTCCTTGGTAAATTTTGTTTTGATACCATAGCAGATGTACTATTACCTCTGCTATTTGGTTTAGTGGTCTTCATTTTTATTTTTTGACCTTGAATATGTCCTTTTAACTTGACCTAAGTCTATTTTCCTCACCTCTTACCTCTTTATTAATTTTTTATATATATATTCCTATGACAAGTCCGTGTGTGATCAGATTGTTCGAAATGTGTTGCGCAAATACATTACACGATTTAGACAAATTACGTCTTCTTATTGCTTTATCTAAATTCATAAAGGGAACTAATTGTTTTAAATTATTATTATTATTATTACTATTATTATTTGATCCACTAAATCACCGTCATTGGTTAAAATTTTATATATATAAGTCTATGTAAATTAGAGTAAAGCCTGAAGAAGATCTAATTGAATACAATATTGTTGGCTTATATGTCTTGTTCAATGAGTTTTGCTAATTTTTGAGAAATCTGGTTCCACCTATGCATTTAATCTGGTTTTCATAGGGATGTCAGTTAGTTAAATTTTGCACACTGGTATATACCTTCATATATTATATTAGGACAAAATATCATCTGGAATTTCGTTAGATGTTTTGAGATAGCTTTCTCAAAGTCTGAAATCGAAACGTCTAACACATTGTAGGATATAACATATGAATCTGTCAGTTGTACCAGTGTAACAACAGAAGACAAGGGCCAGGCAACAGATCGTTTTATTATGAAAATCAACACGTATTTATACATCTTTCAACTACATTATTATAGACAAGCGCAGTCATCTGATTGGTTGTTTAGGTAGACAAACGCAGGCTTCTGATTGGTTGTTTCGGGATTCCTAGACAAATAGAGTTCTCTCTGCGAATCATATTTTGCCACGTTAACTTTGCTGTGATTGGTTGTTGACTCAGGCTTGTTCATATTTTCTCACGGCCCATATTAGTGACCTAGACCTTAACGTAGATTAGTGCCAACCAATCGGCTAGCAGCCTGCTCTCACCACACCGGGAATTCACGGAGAAGGATTGTCCTACGTGCGGTTTTTTACTACTTATAAATATCAAGGTTCAACGAGAAGTTAAAAATCTCCCATAATGCATTCTTCAGAAACTGTAAAGTCAGGGCGCATGGAATTTCGTTAGGTAGAAGCTTAGAATCAGCAGAATTCCGAGAATAGACAAGGTTGATTGAAATAGCTTGGAATCTCGAATTGTGCATGCTTTCAATTTACTGACAAAAGTTCTTTTCATTATCTACGCTGAGAAAAAGCCGTTAGGATAATAGTATAGAAAGGAGAACTACATAATCCAGAACAGCTGAAAATCGACTGTTCGGAGGCGTAACTTAAGCACTCATTGAACGGAAGATATCACATGAATTATCCAACTGCACAGACTGACGTATAATCAAGTGATGATGATGTTAACACGAAGAGTGAATCCCGAAATACTGTAACTTCATGTTTGTTTGTCTTTTTTTTAATATAGAAACTGATTTGTCATCCTTTCGCAATATTTGTCAGCCTAAATCTCTCAGTGGTCTACGTGAAATGACAGTTTTACAGACTGTTGCATGTTTGTGCATGCTTGAAAATGATGTATATTTGGAGGCGATTTCATTTTTTTTGCGTTTGTTGTATGTGTATGTGAATATCTCTAATGGAATCTTCTAATGTGATTGATGAAGTGTCATAAATTTGAATGTGGACAATCTGAAAGCTTATTGGATATGAATAGATGAAATTTGTTTAAGATTCTAGACAGCATTCCTAATGTGAATTTTTGAGTAATTAAGAGGAGAAATCGACCATTCTGGAGCATTCCCCCTCAGTTTATTCCGTATACTTGGCAAGTAATCCGTCATGCACAATTAGGTAGGCCGAAACAGAAAATTACACCAAATCCGCAACCTTAAACCATCAAATGTGTTTGGATATCTCCAGTAAAGAAATCCGGAAATGAACGTTCTCACTTCATGCGTCTTAATATCTTCGCTTTTCTGTTATTCCTACGCTTACATAGGTTTATTACCTTTACGCTCAAAATGAAGAAATAATTAGTGTTCAAACTGACTATGTAATGAAGAATAAGAGATGAAGTAGTAAGAGCGATGAAATTGCTAGGACAATGATAACCTGTAAAGCAGTTTGAGTAAGGGGTGAAATTTCCCGATAATCTCAGCCATATAATGATTGCAGAGATAATGACAATGGCTGCACAGGGAATAGAGAGATACCAAACGTCAGTGTTTCGCCTAACACTTTCATTACAAGTAACTCACTCTTTCAGTTAGTGGTACAATAGTGAATAAAGCCATATCATGAACTCATCGTTTACATTTATATCTCCTATTCTTTCGACAAATTCTAAACTATCCTTCACGCTATGTTTATCACTTCACTATGAAGAGGCTGTAGGAGTTTCAACAACCATGTAGATTGCATGGAGGATTTAATCATGAACTGACATCAGTTAGAGAACCACTGGAAAACCTGGGAGTACTGGACAGCTGTTTCGTCCTAGTTTGGGACTCTTCAGCAGTACGCATCCACCGGGATTCGAACCCAGCACCTTCTGGTTACAAGGCGAGCTCGTAGACCATTGAGCCACTGGGACCCGATCCAATGGTCCTGGAATTCTAACTTCTGCCAATTCACGACATAGCGCGACCACTTCGCAATGTCTTCTTCGATGAGTTACTGCCTCATCTTCAACCTGCTGTACCCTACTGGTCACGGCTTCCCACTAGAACCCCAGGTTAACTGCCTGAATAGGGCCAGTCACTAGTGAGCATCAGATTAATTTTTTCAAGTATTGGTTTTGTAGGGATTTTGTTTACCACGTTTGGGAGACACAGGCGTTGAAATGCCGTCTCCACTAAACGTTCCATTGAGTTATAATTTATCACCCACTTACGTTCACTCTGCTAGAGAGCCTAGCGCATATATGCTGAAATCGAAGGGAATGTCACTGTCATTTCCAAATGCTTTGACCACATATATTTTTCAAAAATGTAGCACAGTTCCCAGAGAATGTCTGCTTATATACATGTGAGTGAGAAACATATGAGAAAAACTTTAGACGAGTGAACAACTCAAAATATTGTCATTATATCGCATCGAATGAAACGTTGCTGCTATCATCTGTTTAGATAATTCACGGTTCAACGAAGTGAGATTCAAGTCTCACTGCATCGGTGTGACACAAAAGTTCAGATGAGTGGAGAAGTAGGACTTGATTTATTACGATTTATTTGTAATGAATTCAAAAGCTCCTATGTAAATACAAGAGGAAGGTATTTTAGAATAAGAAATCGTTTGAATGACGTAATAAAACGCTGTCATATAACAGCCGAATTTATGTGTCATATAGGTGGTCAAAAAGACGTCAGTCTTCCTACGTTTTCAAGTCAGCGTTGGAACAGTTATTTCGCGATACTTCTGTTTCAGGATTCATTTGGCAAAAATATGAGGAGAAAGCAGTGTAACAATAAATGTTTAGCAGCTATTTCCATCGCACTGACACTCACGTGTTGCTTATAAGTCAGGATGAGTCCTTTAAAATGTCACTAAATTTGCATAATTTTCGTCTATGACCGTGAAATGAATATTTATAAATATATATATTTCAGTCAAGAAGAAAATATTACGGCTTTCTTATCAACAATGGCGCTTCAAAACGCCATCTTACATGCATAACAAGTAATCAAAGAAGGCAATATCCTCATGTTGAAATACTCTAACGCTCATAGAAGTATGCCTACTTCACTCATTTCAATCACAATTTCTCCCAAACTATATGGAATTTCTCGTCATGACAATGAATACACATAAATACAAGAAGACACTAACCCCTTCTTAATGACAGTCATTCTCACCCAAATATACAAATCCACTTGAGAAATAAGAGAAACGCATATTTTTTAAGAAGACCTGGACTTTGCGCATGGATGATTTATGTTTGATGTCACACAAATGGAAGACTTACAAGCGAGTGGAACCAGGCCGAAAGATTAGCGGTGAGTGGGTCGTCAGTGCAAGGGTGACTTGGAGGAGATCGTGTGAAGAGAAATTGAAACAATATGGACTAACATGGATGCAGGTGAAAAGCACAGCGAAAGACAGAATCAAGTGGAGACGTGCAGTTGAAGCCCTATGTTCCACTAGGAACCCAAGGGAACAATAATGATAATAATATTGTGTTAGTCAGTATATAAGAAATCAAGGTAGAAATATTACAGAGAATACAGTTGTTAGGCATTACACCTGAAGGTGATTTTCACTTTTGCTACCAAATGAAGTAGGTTATTTTCAACTCAGGTCTGAATTTATATGCAGGTACATCAAATGAATTCCTTTGCTTGACACTCGATAATTTCTGTTGCCCATCCACACTCCAGCCATCATTACGCCACATGAGGCTGTTGGATGAGAAACCGTTCCAGTAATTTCCCTTTGACTCTACCAAATCGCCATAGTTCAGTCCCGCTCTCAAATCTGGGATCAGCACCTCAAATTTGACTTTCGAGAAATCCTCTGAATGGTGCACATTATCGAGAGATTTAACCAGTTGTGATGCATCACCCAGTTTTTCGTGACGTGTTTGCATTAATTCATACGCCAGACGACATATCTGAAACACAAAGTGAGTTATTATATCGTATCGGATGAGCGAAATGCATTTTCATGTGATTCAACAAACACACAAACACTAATAAAGCCTCTTGGTGGTAATTTGCGTTAACCGAAACCAATGTTGGCAGATACTGCTGCGAGTACTCCTTTTGACCACTTTTTGGTTTTCATTGCTATTATGAATTTCAAACAATGAAAAGTGACAACAACTGTTACAGAACCAGTGTACATTACACCGAACCGAATACTCAACATCTCCCTAGTGTGAAGATGTCTGACGGAATTCATTCTGAAGCTTATGTTAAATCCAGGTCAACATCATCAGTTAACATTTTAAGTGCGATATTATCCAACAAGTGGATCAGAAGTGAGCCAACATAGTCTGAGATTTCTTTCACCTTAATGATGAGAAAAACATCCCTTCCATAATGATTACACAGGATAAATAGAGTGAAATATAACAAGGTTACTCACATTTGATGAAAATGTGCACACCAGAAAATCTGTTTCTGATAAGGCCAGTGTGTCAGTGAATGCATTATTCATTGAATCAATACTTCTGCGATTTTGTATACCAGCTGACACTGACCTTCTTTGACTGCCATATAGAATATAGTCTGGATAATTCGTGTTGAACTGGTTGAAGAGAGAAGGTTCATCTGTCGTCAAATAAACACTTCTGTTTCTGTGTGTGAAACGTCCAATATCCTTTCTGTGATTATTCCAGTTGTAGCCATTCGAATTCTGAAAGAAAAGTGTTGGAAGGAATGCGCGTATCTTTGAAAATCCCAAAACTACACTTGGTAGGAAGAGTGCAATCTAGTATAAAATGTAGTGCACAATTACCATTACACAGGATTGACACACATGAAAGTTGAATTAGTTCCAATCATAGCATAATATGGGGTATTACTTCTATCAAATGAAATCGCATCGTCATGCGAATACTTTGACACGTTTATACATGACTATGCATGACTCATCGTCTCACCTCTTACACTTGATTTTCGATATTTGGTGATGGCCACAATCCTAGACTGACAATCCTACTATAAGGTCACACGAAACCACTTTCAATGAAATCTGCCGAATAGTTGATTTCATGTGAAGGCAGATATTCGTCGATGACATCGGCTTGAGGTAGCGTAGCGGTGATGTTCAGTATGCTTGCTGTGTAATGTGAAGTTCTTGGGTGCAATGACTGGTTCGTTCAAGGGTGCATGCCGGTGGACTGTGGAGTGGAGAAAAAGCAGCTCCGTGGTGTTCCCTAGTTATCAATCACTATCTAACTGACATTAATCCATGATCTCGTCTGAAATTGTTCAAACCTCCAGAAGCGACTAGTAAAATATTTGCAATGGAAGCACAGGCACAATTAAACATATCTGTCAAAGATGAACGCTGTTTCCGTAGCTTCACTTCAAATCTGCACAGTTATATGGTATTGTTGGATGTCAGGGAGATGCCTGTCAATTCACTTGTTCATATCACCTGGTCACAAAACATATGAGAATATATTTCGAGAATATGAATGAACCACGTCACCTAAAGTCGATATGTAATGAGCATCATTCAGAAATAATTATCACTGAAACCATATTTAGTTCACACCGGAATACTTTCATTGAAATTAAACAAATTTGTCATACAATAAGTGGTCTGCCGATTTTCTATGATTGCTCTGAACAATCTTTTCCTCTGTCTCGTTTTAGCATTCATTGCTAATACCCTCAATATCAACACTTTGCTTACAGCATTATTTCGAGTATTCTGCACAATGAACATTGTGCAGTGACATAGTTAACACAGTTGTACAATCTTCTGATTGGTGTTTCAGATGTGTTGTGATGTAACTTTGTGTCTCATTGTGACTTTCCTCCTCTCATACTTGTATACTCCTTATGTCTCCTTAGTGGAAATCATTAAGTATGTTTTATTGTGATGGTGAGCTGTTTGTCGGCACATGTAGGCAGCTTAAATCTGTTAGTGACTAAAGCATCAGCAAAATCCTAAATGTGCAAGCTACAGCATGTTACGTAAACTGATCTGAATAGTATGCAGGAGTGTTTGCTGTCTTTATTCCCAGTGAAGTATTGGTTTTCATTTTAGCAAGCTGGGAAATCTGTTGTCACTAATGATGGAGTCTTAAAAATGTGTTCTCATAGTAACACACGTAAAATGCAACCAAGAATCTCCGGATTTCTTCAAAATATGAATATCGAGTAATCCATGACGAGTTGAAACACTAATTCAAGCTACTCGTGTGTAAACTGTCCTTGCGATCGGTACTATTCATTCATTACTGTCTAGTAAAAAATTCAACTTACATATATTTCGGGCTTCAAAAGAGGTGTTATATTCTCAAATGAATTGAAATAATCGTCCACATGCTTCATGTACTCTTCCAAATCATGTGATTGGGCTTCCCGAATAAGCTGGAAAAGTAAATCAGATAGTTCAGCTTGGTTATTTACGACAACAATATGCAAGCATTATTAACCATCAAAAGCCTTCCTGATTCTTCATTTCTTTCTCTCTTTCAGTCTAATCGGTTAAAACATTGGTGGATATTCCTGAGCCAAAGTTGCTAGATTTTCGCGTGTTTCCCTTCAACACAATCAGATGAATAATATTGTGAAGTGAACAGAAACATTCAGATATCAATGAAGGCCTTATGTGTGATGTCATAAAGACACATGATTTTGCCAAGTGAACAATTCTACCAACACGTGCTACTACAAATCTTCTCTTCACCACTTTTCCGTTCTTAACTTTCTAAATTATGCTTAGTATTCTTCACCGTTGTGTAAAAGATACACAACTTATGACGTCCCCACCAATGCCTACTGCTCACTCACTCAATTTCATTTCTACGCTAAAATTTGTCACATATCACATGAAAAGTTTCTAGTTACGATTAGGAACAATGTACAGGGAATTCGATTCACCTACTGTGTCATGAATTTTTAAGTTAGTTAGTTACCTAGTTAGTTAGGTAGTCGGTTAGTTAGTTAGTTAGGTAGATATGTAGGTAATTAGTTAGTTAGTAAGTAAGTAAGTTAGTTAGTTAGTGCACCTGATTGAAACTTATCACTTCCATGAATATTCATTTGAATCTGTTATTTTCTTTATTCGCTTATGTTCCAGGTGAGGCATAGGGTTTCAACAGCACATCTCCATTGCATTCTGTTCTCATTTGTATTCTCTATTTAGCTCAGAGATCGCCCACAGACTCTCATCTCCTCATCACACAATCTCCTACATGTTACGCTCAGACGCCCAACTTGTCGTTCCCTACTCACTCCTCACTCAGTGAGCTGAGGCAAGATGTCACTCAACGCTGTCTTCAGTGCGTATACAATCCATCTTCATTTCCTTCTGCATATTTCTTGATCTGTAAGTAGGTTCGTGGTTGGGTCCTTTACAGAGTTTCTTGTTGCTAGTTCCTTCTGGCCATTTGACTTCCTGCATGAAGCTAAGACAGCTGTTCATTTCACTCTTCAGCCTGTTTGAAACAATTGTGGTTACGCTCCAAGTCTCTGATGCATATAGAAGAAACCACTTGTCATCAGTGTTGAAATTTTGAATCCGTTACTTTGTGGTTCATGTGATATATTTGCACACTGATTGCAGACTAATGAAGGTTTGTCTCGCCTTTCTGATCCCGGGTGTCTTTGACGTTCTCATCCGTTCTGCCTGTAGTAGAGACGACACTATCTAGACAAGTGAAAGAAGTGACTCGCTTCTTGTTGTAGTTGTTCTTGATAGGATCTATTCTCTTCACCTATTTCTTCTTCAAGTTCACTTAAAGTTTAGTCTTCTCTGACTACACTGCCATCTGGTAGTATTTTGTCTGTAAATCGTTGAGTTTATATGACAGTAAACATGTCATCTGCGAAGTCCAAATCCTTTAGTCTCCTTGTGTGCCCAACTAATTCCTGTCTTCTCTTTACAGTCTGTTGCATGATCTAGTCGGTCACAATCAGGAATATCATTGGTGACAGTATATTGCCTCCTTTTTTCTCCTCTTTTGTGATTAACTTCGCTGGTTTCATCTGGGTTGATCTCCTCTCGCATAGCAACCTGGTTATCTGATTCAATGTTCCGTTTGTTTGTCTCGTTTGCCTGAGGCCTGTCTGTCTTTTTCAGTTGCCAGCCAGAGTGTCGTGGAATTGTCTCTTGCCTTTCACACCACTCTGCTTCACTTCTTTATTCACTATGATGTACACTTGACTCAGACTCTCCTTCTATTGTCCTCCTTTGTATTGATTCATCACTTCTCTCCCCATTCTCCACTGCACTTTTCCGTTAGCTGTCAGGCATCCGTTGAGAGACATTCCTTTTCTTGCTTCTTTCTTTCTACAATGACTTGATTGCACGCCTTTCCTGGACACATCACCTTCAGAGAAGTAACTTCAATGTCCTTCCACTCAGCTTGCCTCGGTGATATCGCTCAGTGTCTCCGACTTGGCCATGATCTGATCTGTGGTGAAGGTATCACTTGTAGTTTCGCGTTTCACATTCCGAGTGTCGAACTTGAATTATGGTCTGACACCAGTCGCCACACACCTTTCCTACTTGACGTTGAGTGTCCCTTGGACTAAGCAGTAGTCTGTGCCTACATCTGCTCCACTTCGCGATTTTGTGTCCAGCAGGCGGCGTCTCCACTATCTTGAGCAGCATTAGGATGAAGTCTATCTGACTTTTGGAGTGTCCATCAGGTGAGATCTGTGTCGCTTTTTGTGCATCACTGTGCTGGTACGTCCCGCTCCCAATCACCTCAGCAGTGGAGTCCCAGAGGTCTGCGAGGAGTTCTGCGTTCTCATTCATTTCGCTGAAAGTTTTCCGACCAATGGTGACTTATATTCCTACGTCGTTTACTCCCAGTTTGACATTTCAGCGGTGGGATGCAACATTAATGTTTACATTTAGTGTTCAGCCAGTCCGTTTAATTACATCACCACGTTACACTCAAAGGAAGTTGATAATTCATTAGAACACTCACCTTGTCTGTGCGTCTTATGTGCACACCAACCACTGGATGATCACTACGCCTAAATTCACTCAAACTTTCGTTGATTAGCTGAGAAAGATGCAAGTTCGGACGCAAAACGTATGCGGTCAACTGACCAGCAAACCATGCATACGGTGCTTCATGCAAATATATTAATTTTTCAGCTACATCTTTGGGTAAGACGTTTGGAATCCAGTCCTTGTCTGAAGGAATATATGCTTTCAGAGGACATTCGATAATATCTGAAGAAGATTGAAGAGAATGGGTTTGAATGTGTTAGTTGATAATGCATATCTATATTCAGATTACAATTGTACCCTTTATATGCCAGTGTCATGTTATCTATCACCACATTCACACTAAGATGAGGAAAAATCCACAAGGTTCTAGAAATTTGTCCACTCACGTGTCACAATTTCTCCACTGATTTATTCGAAACATTATGCCTGTAGTCAAAACTCATCAAGCTGTTCACTGGCGTACATTGCCTTTCTATCTGCATCGCAATATTTACACGACGTATGGTCTCAAGACAATCCATCACACATTTTCACATCCAGTGACTTTGTCCTATGAAACTGCGGTGCTACGATTCGAATGCAGCTAGCCATGGTTTGACCAAAGACAACTGACTAGGGTGAATGAGCGCTCAGGTATCGAAGCGAGTAGAGTTCAATTCACAGTTGGTAAGTTACACAGTTTTGCTTGAACCTCTACCACAGTCTCCTTGGAAAACCGAAGTCACTCAATTTACAATACCACCTGCTTTATACCATAGTTGATAATGAATGATTCAGTGTCTAACCAGTTTGTGCAAGTACCCATCCTGAATTTGGGTGATTTGGAAATATTCGGCTGTGTGAGCTCATTCGATTCAGGTATACCGCTGATGAGTTTGGACCTAAATGGGCACCAAATGGCCGTCTAGTGTTAAGATCACTTTAATCTGACTAGGAAGCATTTCTGGTTGGTGTGAGTGATGTCCGACTACTCATATAATTTAACCAGTAGCATACGACATCATGCGATATAAAATAGGTTTCATGGTCTTAGTTCGGTCATTGCTGATGAAGACGAGTCAGAGAGATGGAGGATGTGGTCAGTTACAAACCAGAGTGACGCTATTCACTGCCCGCAACAACCAGTAAGTATACTAGAAATCCACCGAATGCGTAAGCCACTTTATTCGTCGTATCTCAAGTTATCCATTGAAATTCATTGAATTCAAACTCACATTGAATAGATAATCAATGCCGCGCGATTAATAATTCAGTGGAGGCTCTTATTCAGAATACTGAATTCATCTTCCAGTATACACACATTACCTCAACTGATAATTTCTGCTTTACATTAAATACGTATTCCGAATAAGGATCAAATGAAAAAGACGAATACTCCAATGTGTGTTTCAATCGTACTGTTTGCCATAATGACATTACTATTATTATTTTCGCTCTCACATTCAGGGATGAAATTACATTCACATGATATATTTTGATGCAACAAGAATGCATCAATAACACTATCTACACACCTGTTTTATCATTCAAGTCTTCATAACTACATTTCTCCGAGAGTGGTATTGTGTTCTGTTTAAGCCATTCACGAAAAATGTCTCCAGGAGAGTGCTTCTTCAAAACAAGAACTCGTTCACGTTCAAAGGCCATATGTAAGCACGCAGTTAGTTGATGAACAGAGCATCCGAATCCACATAAATTCGTAAAGTCGAATGTAATATATTTGGCAGTTTGGCAGTTTGATGGATTCTGAAATCAAGCAAAGATAAGAGATGGGAGGAGGAAGTGAAGGAGTGATCATGGCCTTGTGGCATGACACAATACTACAATTCTAACAACAGAAGACAAGGGCCGGCAACAGATCCTTTTATTACGGAAATCAGCACGTATTTATATACACTTCATGTACATTATTATAGCTTATTCAAGCAGATAAACACAGTCTTCTCATTGGTTGTTTCTGGTTTCTCGGAAAGTAAAGCCACACATCTGCGAGTCTTATTTGCCCACGTTAAGTCTGTTGTGATTAGTTGTTGAATCAGTCCTTTTCATATTTTCTCACGGCCAATATTAGTGACCTGGACATTGACGTAAATTAATATCTACCAATTGGATAGCAGCCTGCTCTCACCACACAATAATTTTACAAGTACACCTGGCTATGTTGAGGCTTTCTGAATAAGACTAAATTTGAAAAAACCTATATCTATCTGTCATATGACAGCGTAAATTCGTATTGAAATGGTGACAGTGGCAAGATTCTAACTACTGTCCTTCAGATCACTAATTTGGCATTCTATTGACTTCGACACAAGATCCAAATGCTAATCAGCCCATCGTTTCACCATAATCATCATCGTCATCATCGAGCCTGATACACCAGATCCTGATTCTCACTCCAATTCATTCATCACCTATATGCGGATATCTGACGGAATCACTCACTCATCAGAGCTGTCTACTCTAACAGTAATTTCAAGAATCCTTTCATTTCAGAATTTCCAAACAGTAATAATAATAATTTTAAAATCTTCACAAACCTGTAGTTGTCGAATCCGCTTCTGTACTGTTTCAGCGAGTTGGTTCAAACCGGTTATTCGAAATCTTGAAAAGCCATCTGTTTCACCCAATTCTTTCAGATGGGCTTCCATGTCTTCAATGATTTCGTGTAGTTGAATTTCATATCTTTCCAGTGATGTTCTGATTGACGAGACATTTGTATTACTTTCATGCAGATTACTGAATTCTTCGAGACTTTGAGCGATCTTGTGCAGTCCGACTGAGGTGTATTTCATTTCATGCAAGTAGTGTATGGCTCTACGTCGAAGGATCTCATGAGAGTAACCGATTGAAGATGATACTGTGAACGCAAAGTGAACAAGTTCAATGTTCAGTTATCAATCAGATTACTGTTGATGGGAAAAGGTCGTGATACTGTTTATAGTTTACTATGCATCAGGTTGTTTTGATAATGCGCCAACTACTAAACTTTCAACTGAACACAATATTACATTTCTAATTTCAACTTCAGATTCCATGTTGCTTTGAGTTTCACGATATATATCCGCTAAATGCGAAGAGGTGAGCTCCATTGTGTAGCTGATGAGAATTGACAGTAGGATAAATAAAATGCATACATAGAGCATTTCTGATCGCGTAATGATATGCTTATCAGAGGTCTGAATTTTCTCGATGCAACAGTCATCATTTGAATTACTCGGAAAAATCAATCATTAAAATTCAAAATCGATCAAAACCTGCATAAGTAAACTATGGAACTAACCTGGAAACAGTCTCGTATGCAGTGTATTCGTGTGGTTTTGACTGATGAGAAAACAAGCGGTATAGAAATGAAAATACACAGTGTCATGTGACAGGGTAAATTTAGAAAACAAACTTATACATATGTATATGCTCTTAATCTTTTACTCCGCTGGGAATCAAGAAAACATTTGAGTAGACACATTTGACACAGTTTCTGATAAATTTGTTGATAAATCATTTTTATAAGTAAGAGTGCAAATTGTGAATATGCGCACTTAATAAATTAATAACTGAAAGCATTTATTGTTGTAAATGAAAAGGAATTACGGCTTGGTTATTTCGCACACTCGTCGCTGAGATTACATGTTTACAATAAAATATGAGGAACCCTAGGCAATCAGGCACCTGATCGACACCTTATTGAAAGCAAAACGCAAGGCAACTTAAGATTTCATTTACAAGTCTATTATGAAATAGGATGCATTTCTGCTTTGATGCATAGAATATGAAATAAAATGATACGGAAATATACAAGTGCACTGTGACACACTGAACTTCTTCATATGTGTAGATCAGAAGTTATACTACAATAATGTCTGTGGCACAGTGGTTAGGACTCTCGCCGACCAAGCAAATGGTCCGAGGTTCGATCCCCTGTCGACGAACAACTGACACCTATGGTCGGCCTGCAAAATTTAGGCTACCGATATGCATCCTGAAAATTCCATACTTGTACCAAAAATACAGAGTGGAATCAAGCTGGAATAAAAAAATGAAAAGAAGAGCGGTCTGATAAAATTCTGTTCTCTCATTTAGGTTCGTTGATACAATACCATTAGTTAGTTCAGTTGATATCCATACACAAAGCCGCATACCTCGCCAAGCGTATGAAAAGAATGATGCAAAATACTCCACGTGTGGAAGGAAGTTGATTGTATTCATAACTGACACTTCGCATTTGGAAAGTGTCTCTATTCACAAAGAAGACTATTATGGCAAATGTGGTATGTTTTCAAATTGTTCAACTTCACACTTTTCAATCCTTATCAATCACATGGGACGCCGTCATACTCATTCAAATAATCACTGGATAATTAACAATACAAGTGGAATCTCCACTGAAAATACCAAAAATTCTATCATGCTTATGTATCCAATATCTAGTGAAATTTTAGTTGAATGCATAGAGAAGTTAGAGAACTAAGGCCACACATGCTCCTTATTGAGCACAAATCAATATTGAAGAAGAAAAAACTGATTTATGGACAAAATAATTCAGTATTTTGTATGAGTTGATGCCTGAGTTTACATACAGGTCACTGTCATGACAGTCAACTTGTCTAATTGCTCTGAATTCACTATTCAGTGCTCACACAGTTAGTAATCAATAAAAAGATTCGTGAAATTTATTTTATCAATGAACAAACTGACCTAATGTAATCTGATCATTGAAAAATATTCATCTTCAGAATAGAACTAGTTAGTGGAGCAAATCAATTTTCATACTAAACTCACTCACCAAGTAGTCAGGATTGCTTTCACTTATGAGCTGAAAAGTGGCTTATTGGTTTGTAGTTCATTCGCTTGTTTGAAATTTCTAATTCAAGCTTCACTCATCAGAATCATCTTTTGTTGAGTTTCTGTTAATGTGTCATATTAGATGTTAATAGATATTAGAATACATAAATACTTAGAGAACTAAAACTTAATGGTCTTCAGACTGTGCACGAACAAGTTACAAAAGTTCTGATTAAAATACGAACAAACCGGATGACAGAAAGATTGATTTCCTCAGGATATCAGAGACAGGGTATTCGTAGGCGCTCGATATAATGGGTCAGCATCCCAACAGTGAACTAATATAGTTGATTTGAAATCGTTGGTGTATGTGTGTCATGGTTTTGACAAGAAACGTGTATTCAAAATGATTACATATGAACATTCCACTGGCACCTACGACTTCTCTACAGTCTGAATGACTTTAAATAACTTGAACACACATGCGTCGGTGAAAGTATATCATTGTGTCAGTATTTATAACTGCATCGTATAATAAGGAGGGAATAAGTGTGTGATGCGTCAGATTACTTTTCAAAAATAGAATCAGATCTATGGAGGCAAAAGCCAGAGAAAGTGTATTCGATTGGATGAAAACCGCTTACCGCATTATTGTTAATATTACTAATGCTCTTGTCACCATTGTAGTTATTTGCACCATTTACACAAGATTACGAGGAAAGATACTTACTTGTATGTGATGACACAATACGAATGAAAGCTATGAGTATTCACCAACAACTAACACATCGTTTGACAGTGAAGGTCGCAGACAACTAAACACATTTCACCTAACACTTATATCATAGATACATTCCCTGAGAAAGGAGTACTTTTATGTAAAATAAACATGATGTGATACCAATAGATAATCATCAAGCAAGACAATCATAAATCAATCATGCATCACTTCCACCTCAGAAGGAAGAGGCGATTTCAGATGGATGCAAAATGTTTGACTATATATCGGATAGAGTGAAAGATGGAGATATACTACAAGTAAACACGTGTATATAAACTACTCAAGATTTGGCAGTCTATACCTAGTGATGTTTTCTTTAGGACTGACTTCGCTTTACCAGACAAGCATATTTTTAATAGGTGATAGTCATTGGTTTACTGAGAAGACAATTATTACGTCGTTGTACAATGAAGTCAGCGAAAGTAGGAATTTCTTCAGCTTACACTACCTTACCCTGGCATATTTTAATGACACTTTCGGATGAGCTTAAATAAACCTTTCGATTTCTAACCACTAACTAAAACTGAATATTCGCATTTTAATGTTCATCACAACGAGTTGAAATATAAAAGTGACCGTGCAGCTTTGGAAATGTCGTCTGTGGAAAATAGTTTTCAAATAAGTAGCCTCCTCTAAAATCCAGTTCAACTATGTATAGTAACTGATGCGAGCATGTTGATACTGTAAGACAGGAAGCTGAAATGTGGACAAAGTTCACAGCAGGCTGACATTGATTCTTTTCTGGATGGATTAGTGAAGTAAATGAATGCAGATGAATACCAGTCGACTAAGTCTGATTCTCATTCACATTTTCACCAATACCAGTTATACAGTGAGATTTTAAATATATCAGTTATAAGTCGGAAATATTTTATTACAGAGAATATTGAAACTAAAATTTGAAGTCACTTAGCGCACTTGGATTCACCTGTAGTTGTTGAACATATCACGAAGACGTATCAGTTGAGCGGAAATCCAATTTATCTTCCCATCTACATCTCTGCCCTCTCGGATCACAGCTTCATGGCATGTAGTTTTTCTGGATTTTGATATCTTGCTGAAGAAGTCTTGAACACAGAAATGAAGAAGAGGCAGCAGTGGTATCCATATGACGGCGATCAAAATGAGCTCCACTTTTGTGCATCCTTAATTGACAATAATCGTTTTGAAAGAAGAATAAAATCACTCACTGTGCAGCCATATCAAGCGCATTAGTCAAGTAGTTTTGACGCTTATCTTGTTCTGTAAACCTGAATGAATGAGCAGTAGTACGAAATAGAAATTTTACTCAAATCATTCTTCAGTATCATTTATTTATTTGATTGGCTCAAGGTGAATTCAAATGGACCAACCAAACTCATCTATAGTGATGATCAAATCGTTACAATGGTAACTATACAGATGAATAGGCTGATTTTGAATCTCAAAGGCACGATAATAATAATAATACTGCCTTTAATCTCGAAATTCCAAGGGGATGACATAAAATATGATAAGTGAATTTTAATAAAATGCCTCTTTCATTTATCACAAGTCTTATTGGTGATGATTATATTGAGTAAATTAGAATCCTAAGCCCTGTTGGAAATCGCAATAAAAATAATGAAAATTCATCGAAATCTATATCTCTCTTCAGAAGTTAATCATCAGAAGTACAATGAAGACTCAAGATATAGGTCAGCTGGTGATCACGACGATGACACACAACTAAGAAGCAAAACGTCTACCTGTTCATCTGAAAGGTAATAAAATACCTAAATGCATGATGATGTTTACCGCTGACCAACTGATTGATATGAGTAGTTGGGTAGCACCCACGTCAACCATGAGTGCTTGTTTCGTTCTGAACTCAGGTACAAAATACCTACTGAGTGTCAGTATGTTTATTTCCAATAACGTGGGATCGATCAACCCTGTGTGCCAGAATCAGATGGAACAAAATGTGTCTTCTGTATACAGTCGAATGTGAAACCATCACTCCATGGAGTATTTTATCCAATCTAAATGACAATCCCATAACAATACACCATTACCAACACAGTCACACAACAGCATAGTGAAGCAATGCGAACACGAATCATCCAAAAACAAAACAAATAAAGTTGAAGGGAGATATGCAAATGTCAGAGAAATAGAGTAGTCATTACAAGGGTGGCTGAAATATCTAAATGAATATGAATAATATGAATAGACTGTTCATGTAGAGATTCCAAATTAGTTGTTCTGACATAG